GGGCAATTGTAGTAAAATTGGTTAGGCTGTTCAGCTAAAGCTATCCTCCCAGTATAATTTGTATTGAAACTGGATGGAGGCATCAATCTAGAAAAGGAAGGGGAGGCGGGGCTGCCTCTCTTGGCCAGACCAAAAACTGTGTTTAATGAATCGGCATTTGTGCTACAATATTCGAATCCATTTTGGACGGCTCATGAAAACACAAATCCCATTTTGGCCGTACTACATCAGAAACCACGAGGGGATGTTTTTGCGTACCACTAGGGAAATATGTACGGGATGGTGACCACCCCGTACAGATTGGTACGGCGTTTAGTACGGTGTGGGCCGCATAATGCGGTACATGTACGCAACGCGATGCGAAGAAAAGTGGGATCATGTAGAAATTAGAAAGAGGGAATTATAAAAAAAAATACACCAACAAATCGTGGAAAATATTAAATGTGTCGATAAATTCACAAGTAAAAGTTGTTGGGAGGAGTGCAAGCATAGCAAGCGCACGAAAGGTAGGGCGCTCGGTATTCGCGAAGACGAGTCCATTAATACTCCAGTGACTAGCTCCTTAGCGAACGGGTTGCTGCTGTGCTTAGTACCTGTTTTTACTGTTGTGTAATCCCTACTATGCATTTATTAGAGCACTCAGTCACCGCTAACAAGTATACACGTTATCTACCTTCGTCGAAATATTTACATGTTTTTTTTGTGTTTTAAACGTATCCTCTCATTTACGGTTCAACGTGGAACATCATATTGAGGAGTGGTGTCACGATGTTTGGGCTGAGCAGATTGTGTTCTTGGAGCCGTTTCTTTTTATTTCGTTTTATTCACGCAAATTGGGGCTTCAGAATCCGCTCATTCGTAGATACTATAAACGACTGTAAGTGCTCTAGAAATTTATTGTTTACTCCCTCACTTGTATACTTTTTACTTGCCTTCCGGTTTATTTTGTTAATAAGCTAATTTGGGGTAATGAAAAAAACTTTAATTAGAAAGGCCTGCAGATTGTGAAAATAACTAAGCGTTGGTTTACGTGCTATTCCCTTCTACTTAAAGCTCAATAGTCCAAGGGTTGAGGTTGTGGCTGCGTACTGGAAGCGACAAGTCAACGTTTGGCAAATAACCTCGCACACAATTTTCCAAGTGAAAATGAAAGGTACACTACGAATATGCGCAGGAGAACGCCCATTGTGCTGACACACTCTTGGAGAACTATAATGCAGACATGGATCGGCATTATACGAATAATAATATGGCTAAATATTTAGCAGGTGTTAATTTTAACACATGTGATGATCGGCATTACTAGTATAAGATAACGTGCAAATCAGTGTATTCACTCATTGCGTTCGCACGTGATAACTGAGGTACAGATCGAGCCGGTTTCTCTGCGATGGTAAACTTTACTTTCACCGGCTGCTTTCATTGAACTTGTAAACAACAATACAAGGGTTAACCCTACGTGTATCTATACTTGTTAATATGTTGTTGTTGTTTTTTGACATGGTCACCATTGTCAGTATGTGTATCCTTACAAATGTGACTGATATCGTCAGCCAGAAGCTTCGCTGTATGGATGGATAACTGAAAACGCTAGGCAGTTAGAGTGTGGGCTTTATCCACAAATTGTGTGCAAAGTTTCAGTACATTAAATAACTAGGATGTGTATATAGCATTAACCTCTATCAATCGGGTCGTAACCTACGAGTCTTGACATTTTTTTTCCCTGATGAGCACCCCATCGTTCACACAACTCTCTAGTTACGTAGACTGCGTAGCACATGTACACGTACAGAACACAGTTCGCAGGACATTCCATGTATCCGGATATACGGGAAGATGTCAGTTTAGTAGCCTCGGTCTGGTGCCCTCACTAAATCACCAATATCTTTGCAGCCAAGCATCCAATTGACACGTGCAAGGTAGAATTGAAAAGAGGAGAAACAGTCAGGTTATATGGATTGTTTGAATAGTTAATAGTAACATGTGATAGCGTTTTATAAGTGCTTTCATTATGTGCTTCTGCAAATTGGTGCTCATGCCAGTTTAGTTTCCCCTTGACTTGATTAAAGTAAGTTCTGGTCCACGAGAAAAGGCGTAGCGGAGGGAACAATCCATCGCTGACCATTAGAAATCGCTTGCCATGATTTGACTCGATGTAATTGGCTAATGAGGACCAGGGCTACGAAACTGACCATGTCCCTTAGTACGGTTCTGTTAACTGTGTATGTGTCTTCGAAGATCAAGGATTAGGGACCATGCAGTGCGTTATCGATCTGGTTCGCGTCCGGCTCATTCGGAAGTTTGGTTCCCCCCCACCCACCCACCCACTCACATTTCAACGTGCTTGCCACAGCACAAGTCTCAGTGCCGACCATCCAAGAGCGCCCCGAACAATGCGAGTTGGCAACATTGTCCTGCTAGCTACCGCGATCCTTGCAGCCATCGACGTGACATCTGGTACCTCGGCATCGACTTTGACTTTGACTTCTGAACGTGCCAACGCGGTTTCTGCGTTTACTAACGGCTCAAACGACAAGAGACTTCTACGAACTGGTGCTACAGTAAGTGAGGGCGACGAAGAGAGAGCGGTCGCTGTTGCCGTTCTGGAGAAGCTCAAGAACGCTCGAGTGCAGCAAATGCTGAGAGAGGGGTTCGAGGTTGACGACGCTTTCCTTGCGTTAAAGCTTGAGGCGGCTAAGGGTAACATCTTTGGGGGTTGGAAGTTCAAGACGTGGATGAAATTCGCAAACAAGCTCGATAGGCAAAACGCTGGAGAGGCCATGGTTCGCTCGCTTGCGACTAAGTATGGCGATGTTGGGCTGGCGAAAATGCTGCGACATATCAACTATGGAAAAACGGCGGGCATCAGCAAGAAGCTGCAGCGCGACCAATTTGATTTTTGGTTCAAGGAGGGGATGGGGCCGCGCTACGTGCTCAGGACGCTGTTCAAGGCAGAAGAGGAGAAAGAGATCGGCAAGCTTGGTCGGAAGATCTTGGGAGAATACCGGGACTATTTGAACAAGAACCACCCTGATTGGTCCAAGACAATCTATTAGCAGTAGTAGCAATAGTTCATGCACCGCACGAGCGTTTGAGTCGACATCCACTACATTCGATACCGCCAAACTTCGTCTGATGGTATAGCCACGACGTGGGTAGACACCGCGCTATTACACTGGTCATTTATAATAAAAGTCCGCGAAACCTCTGCAAGTGAATATGCCTGTCTAAAACTTGCTATGAACTATCAAATTCTTTTGCACCCCAGATTTCACGAATAAATTTCAGAGGTTGCATGGCCACACTGGAAACGGACAGCTCTGTCGGCACAATCGCCCACATAAATCCAAGTCATTGGAATGTCAGGATCTTATATCGTACTTAAACGGGTTAGTATACGGAATTGTATTCGCTGGGCGATTTGGGGGAGGTTCATTCAAAGAACCGCCCATGGAAATTTTGAGTAGAACTCACAATAGCAAGTAAAGCTACTGGAATAATTTACTGATGACGGCCTAGATACTCAATAAATATACATTTTCGTTTTAGTCTTCTGGAACGTTAAGCGCTTCTCCACTCGAATGTTAACGCACCTGAAAATCGTGCATGCAACATCATGGTATCGAATTTGCCATGGTGCCAACGCCTTGCCACTGGACCTATGTCCTCGTTATCGAGGTCTCGACTGGACATTATAATACTCTACAACAAGCCACGCAAGCTGGCAGCAAGTAGCTGCTACACCACTGTCAAGGATCTTCGTCGTGGTCATGATGCCACCAAGCTTCTTACATGTACTACGTAGTATTATGATACTCTGGCTTGACTTTTGACCCGAGGGGGCTTTCGGTTCGAGATGTGGACCGAAGGAGCTGCAAATGGCAGCATTGTTGAGGCGACGACTTGACAAGAAAATCCTTCGGTGGCCGTCTAATTCTTCCCTTTGATGCAAAGGAGCGTACGAGGAGTCGGAAACTAGTGCTAATGTGTTTTCGAAATCGTAGACTACGTTTGGACAGGCACGAGAGCAACGTGGTCACCTCATTTTGGCACGAGCGATCGCACTGGCGTCAACACTCCGTTTGCCGATAAGATGAAGGCTCTATCCTATATGGACATTGCTTGGATACGAAAACCACGACTTACTGTAGGCGTCTACCGGGTTATGCACCTTGTAGGAGGGTTCTGAAGTTGAAACAGCAGCTATGAGCACTCTATAGATTACTGGAATTCAGTAATACATTACCCAGTTATTTACTCGTGGGTCTCCTCCACCCACTCAATAAAACAATTACTTTTCCGAACTCTGCAAGTTGACCTCTGCGTAGTCGCTCAGCGGCACCTTTTTTGCTTTCGACCATGTACTAGTAAGCACCGTTTTGTTAAACGTGCTAGTGCAATTTCGTATTCAAACTACAGCGCGAATAGCAAAAACCTATTTTTCATATTTTTGTTACCACATTTGCTGAACAGCAGTAAGAGCTTGCAATGGCACCGGTTGACTTAGGCAGTGATGTATCCAACGTTCTCATTACCTCATGGTGTTATGTTTCACATTTTAACAGAGTCTCACTCTTCCGAGAACTTGAAGGTGAAATCGACACCTGCATAGTCAAAAGGGAACAGTTTGTCAACATTAATTCCAACGGCTGTCGACAACCAATCGGTGAAGTAAATGTGCTTACCGAAATGCACGACGCGAAAACACAACGTTAGTCCCGCCCAAAACATCAATTTGCCTTGAATTAAAGGCATTTGCGTCTCCAAAACGAAAGCAAGTAGGTGGAAAGACCGCAACCCGCAATTCCGCTTAATCAAGCTGGTCAACAACACAAAAGAGATTATCTGGAGTAACCCAAATACAAATACGGGAAGCACAGTTGTGCCCACATTTTCGTAAGTAATTCCTGCTAGTTCTGTGTGATAAAGTGCATTGGAAAGGTTCACCATGGCCAACACGTAGCTGGAATAAAACAGAGGGATAACAGCTTCCAAGTAGGCTGTAAGTACAAGACATTCGGTCGTGAACAGGATCTCAAGAGTTTCGCGCAGAATTATAGCTCGATTGATTGGCTGGGTAGTTGGACATTCTGCGGGTCGAGTTTCTTCCCACGAGGAGTCTGCTTTTGTCTTTCGTGAACTAGTTTCAAGAGGATAAATTGTCGAGCGAGACCGACAGCATAAGGGAGTAACTAGGCGCGATATCTGAGTTTTTTCGCGAGTTTTCGTATTATTTACTCCGTTTTGAGACGGCGATATAGCAGCAACAGTACTGGAATGAAGGACTCGAAAGCTGTCCTCGTGCTCCACTATCGCGTTTAGCGAACTGCGATCCGATGCTGATAATCTGTGCGGAAGACAGGAACGTACACGGACACCTGAGCGGGACAACCTCTTAATGTTGTCCGGGTTCCTGTACAGTAAACAAAGCGCCGTCAACAAGTTGTCGCTCTCAGAAACCGTAGAAGTACGAGTCGGAATTATCAGTCGGAGCCTGTCTTGACTTGTGACAGTTCGACGATGTAAGCCATACAACATCAAAGTCGTTTGCAATAGATCGGTGATCGTCATAATGGTTACAGCCGCGACAGAGTGTGCGCTCTGCATACATGTTGCAATGTAAAGTGCGTTGAAGAAGTCCACTGTGAAAATTACGGCTTCGGGTGTCATATCTTCCATGTGTTTGGTACATCTCAGCATAATATATTTCACAATCATTTTGAGAAATGGCAGCATTAGAATCACTGCAAGCTGGAGTCGAGATCCTTCTGCGAAGCGGAATAAAGCCTCGTATGCAGGATAAATGAAGGCTACCATGAATTGAGGAGAAACAAAGTTAGAATAGTCGATCAACTGGTCCCGTTGTGCCAGAATTTGACGAAACATTCGAGACCCCACAACAGCTCGAAATGCTACAAGATGTGCTCCACAGAATACTGGAGTCATAGTCAGCACGAAGAATGGGACTGGGAACCCAAATTGGGATGCGACGGCCATTGAACACGCAGCAGCACCGACAGGCACCAATTGATAGTAGAATTTGACGACAGACCGAGATGTTGATGCCGTCAATAAGATATGTTGCTTGAACAGTGAGAGCGTGAGCTCCCACGTAAACCATAACTGATGATCGAATCCAAAACCCGTAGTTAGAGCGCCAGCCTTCTTTTGGATCTTGGAGAGGAATCAGCTCCAGAGCGAATACCAATGAAAGCATTGGCAGTAGTGAACCAACACAGACGAACAACACACGAGACACAGACGCGCTGGTGGTGTAAGCCTCCAATGCTAGAGCTCTCTGGATCGAGTATTTACCGCCATAATACGTCACTTGAAGGCGTTGCCAAGAATGCAGAAGTGTCAGTCCGAAAGAGAGCAGAGCAGATTGCATTTTGTTCTCTCAGCTGTCACCGTTGGTGCGTTGTCAGTGGACGAGCGAGCCAACAAGTGTCCAACAAAAATACAACTTCAAACCGTTCTATTCATGAAAGTGCTCTTGCATCATCGCATTTCTCCGGTTATTAACTCGTTTAGACACAGAAGCCAGAAACCAGAATTTTGTCATTCGTTCCTATTTCCGAGGTTTTTTTTAAAGAATAATTTCAATTGCTGCTTGTGAGAGGAATACTCTGAAAGAATAGAAAACAAAGCAAACGTCAATTGAATGTAACAACTGCTTATTACCACTTCTACCTAAAACTAATACGCCAGCTTCGGACAGTTGGATTGCGTCTCGAAGCGATACCAATATGTCTGTTTATCGGCCCGTGTGCTCGTTTGAGTTTGAGTTGGTTCCAATTACGTATTGAGGCATTATCGAAACCAACTTGCCCCAAATCGGAATGCTTGACGAGGCCTTACAGAACCGGATAACCCAAGCAATCCAACGATAGCTTCAACAGCGTCGCCTAAGGTAGCGTCAATTCCTCAATTGGACGACGACCACTGAAATCTGTGTCGCAAGTTTTCTGTAAACGAACAGCGCGGTTATCGCCATTACCGTACGCTCCGAATGGCCTCCAGAACCACTGTAACAATAGAGCAAACTTGGACAAAGCAGGTTTTACAGCTCCACAACTCTACGACATCAACCACTCCATTACTGGTTCCGTCCTCTTCCAGAAGCCCAAGAAGACTCCGTTCCAACTCGTTCAGCATTACGTTCCCAATCTGAAATAACTTCCCAATAACCAGATCGGGCAAGACCTTAAAATCGACGTTGTGACTGGGATCACCGTCGCCATGGCGCTCATCCCGCAAGAAGTCTCTCTCTCCAGCTGTCACTACCCGTCATCTACGCCCTCTTCGGATCCAGCACGTGCTCTCAGTCGCCAGTGGATCTGAGGTCGCATCGTACACTCGATCCATCCTCGAACCGATCGAAGACGAAAAGGAAAGCACCACTACCGGTATCTTGATCTCCTTCCTCAGTGGGATCAGTCTGCTCGTCGTACGTATCCTCACCTCAGCCAAGTTGCCGACTTCTCCCATCCAATCATGGACGGCTTCTTCTCAGCTGGAGGACTTTTCATCCATCTCTCATAGTTCCAGATCGTACTCAATGTCAAGTCCGACTCGCAGGACTACCCATCCAAACGCTACCAGACCTTGAAACATATTGGCCACGTCGTCAATGTATCACTCGTCTTCCTGTCAACAGACGTTGTTGCCGAACGCCTTGCCATCCTATAGTAATACCGAATAGGGACTCACGGGTAACAGTATCACCAGCGCCAGAGGCTTTTTCCAGGCTACGCCTTATACTGGGGATGTCCCGTATAGCTGTCAATATGCAGAACGCACACACACAGTCCGCCTCCATCATCACCATACGCATCGTCATCATCTCGCTCAATACACTGACCAGGTACACTCCTCTATTGTCTCGACATTCATCATCGTGGTGGGGTACACTCTGGTCGAATTCAAAAGAAGCCAAGTGGCTTTCCGTCTCGAATACCTCCAGCGTAAAGGTAGTCTTGTAGATCTTGAGGTGTTCCAAGATGCACGACGCCTGGACGGCATTGTGGTGGTCAGAGCAGAGAGTTCCCAGTATCTTGCCAACTGTGAACATGTCGTTCTATCGAACACGTTTAGAAACACTTCTAAAAACTTATTTCATCCACTCTTGATAGGCACCAGCTTGCCCGTTTGTGGGTCTACGCAGAACTTCTCGTCGTGCTTTACTAACCACTCCTCGTACTCTCGGGCTTCAGGATGAAAGTGACAAACCTGTTCAAATACTGCCTTCTGCATCGCCTCTTTGGTCTCGGCCACGTATTCATTCGAATCGTCAATCTTCCCCACAAACTGGTCCTCTTTCTGTTCCGTTTGGTCGTACAAGAACATCTCATCATCTCCACTATTGTCGCCCATAACCGACCGGAAAGCTTCACGTAAGTACGGATGCTGAAGCGCTTGAACAGCAGTGATACGCTGCGTGGGGTCATACACGAGCAGCTTCTCCAACAGATCCAAAGCCTGTTGATTTGCGTTCGGATAGAGCTCTTCAAACGGAATCTTGGAGCGCCGTCGCTGGCGATGAACCCATTTTTGCGCTGCCTCTTTGTGGATCTTAGAGATATACGCGATGTCGGGTGTTCCAAGCACGTTAAAGATCTTGTTCAGCTGGTTGGTGGTGCTAGATCCGGGAAATAGCGGCTTGCGGCCTAAAAGTTCTCCTAAAATGCAGCCAGCAGACCATAAATCGGAGGGTTTATCATATCTGCATCCGTCTAAAAGAATCTCCGGCGCTCGATACCAGCGCGTCACCACATACTCCGTCAGCTCCACAAACCCATCGTCCGATTCCTTCGCCTTGGAATAATCCACATAGCGTGCTAAACCGAGGTCGCAAATCTTGGCTTCACACGTGCTAGTTACTAAGATGTTGGACGGCTTTAAGTCGCGATGAAGGACATTCGCAGAGTGTAGATATGCCAGCGCTCGTAAGATTTGACGCATGAAGTGCGCCACATGTTCGTCTGTCAGTGTCTGGGTCGAGTGAATAACGCGATGCAGATCTGTCTCCATCAGATCAGTGACCAAATAGATGTCTTCTAGATACGACAGACGTTCAGGTCGAGGCACGTCGTAGAGCTGGATCAAATTCGGGTGACTCAGCTGTCGAAGGAGACACAATTCGCGCAGAATCCGCTTGGTATCGGGCAAGTCTTGGAACGCGTTCGTGACCTTCTTGATGGCTACAGTCGTGCCAGACTCGATGTCACTGGCAGCGACCACTTCGCCGTACGTTCCAGCCCCCACCACCTTGATCAACTGGTACTTCTTGGGTACATCAAACTTGGTTGTCTTCCCCGAAAACGTGTGGTTATCACGAGCTAGTCGTGAAAGTTCACGGTTCTCTTCACTGCTGGGTGGTAAATTTTGTGTACTCACGACTCCGTTCGCTCGTCTATTGGACGAATCGGTCCTGCTTCGAACCTGGCGAGACACGAAGCGTCCTCCTTTGTCTGATGGGAAGTTGAACGCTCCAACTGACGCTTTTTTATCGGATCGAAGGAACTCGCGGAGGTTGTAGCTGGATGAGCTCTGAAGTAACGTTTCGTCCGCAGAAGCTCGTCTGGATTCCACTAATCGTCCGTCGCTTGCCATGCGTCGAAGGCCTTGGGATTGAGGGAAGTTCTCGGCTGAAGTAACGGTAGGCGCGAAGATGATTCCGAGCTGAATACGACCACGAAACACCGTCGGAGGAGCCCACGATTCCTTGCAGTCATTGTACTGATCACACAGATTATGCCACCGAGGGAGAGCGCCGTTCGCCTTGGCGTCAGCAGATCCATTCACAAGCGCTAAATGAGGCGTGACGTTGATCTTACACACACCCAAGAGCTCGTCTGGGAGCATAAAGCGGCTCTGGAACACTTCCACTTTCAGATAATACGTGAATCCTCGAGCACAGCCTGGAAATTCAAGTCGGAGGTTGCTAGACCAGTCCGGGTTAAGCGTACCGACCTTATGATGATCGTCTGGAGCCACAACTGGCAGACACTTGCAGATATTCGTGACGCATCCACTAGGATCTCCAAACGTAGCAACAGCGCGCTCTCCAGAGATCCCCGCAGCACGTCGAAGACCTCGGAAGAACCGCGTCCCTTTCGATGGCCGACGATGTTCTTTCTGAGAGCCCATTTGAGCGCCATTCAGCAGCTCGTCGGACGTATTTTCACCTTCTTTCAAGTCCAAACCACGTAACGTTTGCTCTAAATGCGTTCCTTCCTCGAGAATACAGCGTGCATACACTGGATACCCTTTCTTAGCAGACGCAGACGCCGCGTGTTGAGCATTCCCCTTAGCTGCATGGTCGTTGCCAGTCTCACACAAATGCAGTTGTTGAGCTCGTAAAATCTGCACGTAGAACGTTCCAGGAGGGATTGAATGGGAGATAGCAGAGGCTTCACCAGGCAAGACTAGGCGGATGTTCTCTCCACGTGGGGCATCGTCGAATGCGACGGAGAGAGCGACTGCATCTCCGTTTAAGTGCCAGCGAACCAGTCGGTCCTTGTGATCTAACCATAATTCATGCACAAACAGCTGCGTAACCCGGCGGTTGTCCGTGTTGAGCAAGTTGTACGTCTCTTTGCCCGTGACAACCAATCGTTTCGTCCACTGAGCTGAAGGCGTCGATGCGCTACCAGGAGTTCCCTTAGCTTCGGTCGATTTAGGGGATAAAACGTACGAGTCTGCTGTGATTGGAGACGGCGTGAGAGCGTCATGGTTCGCGCCAGTCTCGTCCACGCAGTCGGCGTCACCACGCACTAACTCGATGACTTCGGTGAGCGAGAAATTGTCCACTGTAACGGTATCCAGTAACGTCGAAATGAACAATAGCACGCCGTCATATCGACGATATTGTCCCCAGAACGGCACGATCGGAGGGAAGTTGGACGTAACCACAATGTCAGGATGCATACTGCGGAATAGCAGAGGGAAATCTCCAATCTCTTGTCGTAACAGAGCTCCAAGAAGGCGATAGAATTTATGAGGCTCCAATGGCTGAGACGCAAACGCAACATACGGACGTGTCACCTCCGGAGCTTTAGAAATAGCAATCTAACATAAAATACAACAACGTTAGCCACAATATTTTACCGAAAATGACCACAATAACTTACACTGATGGCTCGTTTCCACTGCTCCTTCTCAAACGCAGTCCTGGAGCTCAAATGGTTGACGTGGTTTCCCTCTGCAATGACTCGAAATCCATTCGGCTTTCCCATATCTTCGTCCTCGATACCCTGAAGTTGAATTCGACCGATAAGTTTCGAGTTGGAGATGAAATCTTCGCGAGTCTCATAGAACGCCAGAGTATCTTCCTCCAGTACGCAATACGTGGCCTTCCAGCTCATCAACACGTCGCTTTTCTTGCTCAAATACCCTTCAAACGAAATATCTCGATCGGTACGGTACCGAATCGTATGTGATCGTCCACGCTCAATTGGTCTTGGTACATTACCTGGTACAGTCGCTCTAGGTCTAGGAGGCGTCTCTACTGAAGCCGAGGACGAAGCCGGTGGCGTCCGGACTGGCGGTGAAGGAGCCATCGACGAGTCTGAGTCCGTCGTGCCTTCAGGATCACTCTCTTCAAGGAATAACTTGCTCGTGTCTCCGCTCCTGGGATGAGGTCTCTTTGGAGCTTTACCGGGCTGAATCCGTTGCTGTAGAACGCTCAAAAACGCAGTCATTCTGGTGCGGTGCACGGGGTCTGTGTTCTTAACTGTGATGCCGATCTGTTCCGAGTCATGGAGCTGCTCCATCCGCACCAGCAGCACTGTTCTAAGGCCATAATGGTCGGTCACGCTAGCATACGCCAAAACAAACTTGTCCTGCTCTGATTTCGGAGGGAACACGACCAGATCGTTCCCCAGAGCTCTCAGGAATTGCTGCTGGAAGCTGCTACCGGTATCTGTCTCTGTTTCCTCTGTCCGGCGCGTTCTGTCGCCTTTAGAAGCAACTTTATACTTGTACTTGGTGAAGGTACAGCTGGAACTCACTTGTTGTGTGGCGTTAAGCCACAGCTGCTCGAACAGCTCCGGTGCCATCCAGGGCTGCTCGATGCGTTCGATCTCTACAGCCACGTCTTCCTCCTCGTCCAGCGTCAGGTTGCTCTCGCGACGCCGCATCATGGTGTTGCGCACAATTGTACCAAAATACAGGTACAACTACTTGATCACAATCTCCTGGGCGCTACAGAGCACGGGGAGAAGCAGCGAAGGTGACAGTAGATGGGGATGGATGTGGGGATCAAGTCAAGCGAGGAAATGGGGGCACTGCTAACCCAGGAGAGCGACCAAGAGCGTTCCAAGTGGACCAGTTCGCTCCGTCAGAGTAAAGGGGCGGCTGGTGAATAAGAATTTGTAGCCATATCACGTGGCGATCTCGATTGGTCAATAAAAAGGGATGGTCGTAAATGGCTACATTTTAACGGTTTTTCGTCGACAAGTGCCGCTTCAACTTGGCTTTTTTGCAATCTGCTCATAACATGAAGCACGAGGTGGTTCCTTGTGATTTAGATACTTTTCTTGCTGGTTTTTTACTTACTGTGTTGGTCTAGTGTGCGTCCTGTGTCTCTCTTCAACAGGAATTGCAGCAGCTGCGCGACTTAAGTGACCGAAGAGCTCAACGAGATCATGATCAATGCGTTGTCATGTTTCAGAGGATGCAAGAGCTGGTGAGGCTGAACGAATCGTTAGTAAAAGGTTACAGCCGTACCGATGGACATAGTGAAGATGGGAGTGCGTCGAATTGTAGTATCATCGCAGATGAAGAGTTTAAGGACAGTGATGTCGAAATGGAGGGTGCGACTGAGAGTGCTCAAACACAGATAGAACGCATGCAGGCGATCATTGTCCAGCAAGCGAAGGAGTTAGAGACGCTCAGACGAGTACAGCGAGGCGCTATTGTCGACGGTTGCGTGCGGCATCCAGTGATCAATCTAAACAATCAACACGTGGATGAGGAGGACCGGATTGACAGCGATGAGGAAGATAATGGCAAAGTCGAGGGCGGGCAGGAGAATGAGATGCGAAATGCAGTAAACCGACAGGCTAATCAACTGCGTAAACTGCCGCTGACCTCATTGCATGCCCAACTGAAAGGCAAGGACCTCCAGTTGTTGCATCTTCAGCAGATCATCGCAAAGCTGGAGTCGCGATTCGAGAAGCTCATCGACCGAAAACGCTTTATGGAACAGAACTTCCAGCGAACTGCCCGAACGCAGCAAGCGCATTTGAAGAAATGCCTGGCATATATTCGACAACAAACCGCGGAGAAGA